ATTATTATTATTATTAAATGCATTTGTGTTGAGCTTAACCACGCTTCACAACATGATATGTGCCTTTCAACTATGGACGCCCAATTCATTGGTCAAATGGACCTGATCTTCATGATCAGGTCGAATCAAATGGAGTCGATTGATGTGGTTGGCCAGTGCACACCACGTCAAACTTGCCTTCGCTTTCCTTCAACAAATTTGACCCCACAGTCCGTAGAAGGTCAAGTCTAATTCCGAATGGAGGTTCCAAGTAGACGTTTACCCTAAGAGCAAGCTGCTCTGGCCGCAATCCAAGATTTGCACGATTATTTGAAGGATTAAAGTCAACTTTATCTCGCAGTGTGTGTCTATTGACACATCAGTCTGTGGTGTAGCGGTCATGCGCTTCGTTGTAGCGCACAGGAGTCCCGAGTTCGACCCCCGAGTAGGGAGAAACTAGGGTGCTCTCGTGGCTTAGAGGATAAGGTGTTCACCTCTTATTCAAAGGTCCCGGGTTCGAATCGGGGTAGCGACGGAAACATTGTCTCCTTTCATCCCCTTTCCTGCTCTCTAGCAATGTTCTGTCGTCTGCTTTCATCTCCATTTTCTGCCCCCACCTCCTTACCTCCTTTGCACCCTCCTCTGGGCTTCTGACTCTTTCTGCAGCCTTTCTGCTGCTACTCCTTGGTTGTTTCTTACTGCTGTCTTTCAGCCACACCCCTGAGCTTCTGGTAAGAAAGATCTGCACCTGGCCTTCTCGGACAAAGGCGAAAAATCTCGGAAGTCTCGTGTGCAAGTGGCGTACGTTAAAGATCCCTTGGTGGTCTAAAATTGATAAGAGTAGGATTCGGCAGCCACCTGGGCAAAATTCAAAATTTTCTACCAACTGAAATTGTTTAATGTGTCCAGGGCGCTCATACATGGCCTTATGCAGTTGTGAGCGTCGAAAAACACTTACAAAAAAAAGGAGAAACTTTATAATCGAGTAAAATAGTCTTTCTGCTGGGATGCTGTATCCCTCTCAGCCTGGGTTGGCCCTGACTAGTGACAGGTGGGGACGGAAGCTCTCCTCCTAAACGAGCTAAATTGTACTGATGAGAGAGTAAAAACACCTTCGTTTAAAACGGAAAAATAGATACTGATAGAGCATAACACGACCAATATGTCGGTCATTGGAGTCGGGTTCGATTAGCAAGGTATGTAAACCCTGCCTTTTGACCTTCTGTAGTACGCTGATCAAACCAGAATTTGGCACGGTGGTTCATGAGATAAGCATACATGTGAAACTTTCCTTCGCCAACTAGAAGTGCAACCGACTATTAATGCGCACAGAAAGGACACTTTCGTAACACGTTTTACACAAGCCATTTGGAAATCATTTAACATGTGGCAGCAATAGCTTGAAGCTGACAAGGACAGATTTTACGTTGCACACTTTATCACTCAGCCAGATCTGTGTTTCAATCTAACCATGCAAACAGAACTTGTAACCAACGAGATAGTGAGAACCAGTATTAGAAACACAATCGGGCCGTATGAAGACCCTCCCTGCGTCAGAGAGTGAGAAGACGTTAAGTGAAGTTTGGTACGGACACATCTCATGTTCATCTATATAGGCCAAGACTATCCTAAACAAAGGACAGCACAAGCAAGGAGACGCAAAGGCAGACAGACAGGGAAACGAAATGCGACGACAACATTGAAGAATGAATTGGCAGTGATTGGAATATCTTTCTACTGAAAGCTGTGGACCGAGAGAAGAGGAAGAGGTGGGTTGCAAAATCTACAGTGGTGGGGCCTTAACAATCAGCCAGACTGTAGAATAGGTGAAGATGCTGGTGAAGAGGAAACAGAAAGTCACAACATGACAAGGGGTAACAAAAAACCTGTACGAAATGGAAAACGTGAAACAAACTTCAATCACCCCCCCCCCCCCCCCCCCCCACAAGCAAAAAAAAATTCCGAAAAAATGTAAGTCTTTGTGTAGAAAATAAAAAAAATATAAGAAGAACGTGTCAACGAAACAGCAACACAGCTGAAAGTAAAACTAAAGCAGCCATTTGGGCCAGACAAAAATGGGCTTCCCTTATCCAATACCAATAAATACAATGATTTTCAAAAGGAGTAGACCAGTGTTTATGGTGTAGCAGTTAGGCACTTCGACCTCGAAAACAGAAAACGTGAGTCCGACTCCTGTATGAAGATATATTGGGGGTTTTTTCTTTTTTAATCGAGTAACTCCGTCTTTCTGCTGGGACGTTGTATCCTTCTCTGTCCTGGTTGGCCCTGACAGATAGGGTTGAAGCCGGTTTCCTGAATATTCTAAATTGTGTTGATGGGAGCGTAAAAAAACGCCTACTTTATTATTTTTCCAAATTAGAAGTGGACCTGGCAATAGGATTGGGTCCCAACACACCAAAGACACACTAGCAAACAGAATAGCGACGATGCAAAGAGAATTCTAGAAGGACACTTTCTGTTACATTTCCCCCGAGTGTTGTATCGAGATGTACCCTACCACCAGACGGGACCTTGAGAGGGGATAGCTGCTTACCTAAATAAATATTGTCTTAACTACGGCTTCTACAAAGGGCATATTGTTAGGTATTACCGCCCCGAAGTGAAAGATAAGCGGCTCTGATCGCCTACGCCTCAATTCCTTTCTCTTAATGCAGCTAGACACATTCCGGAGGGCACTACGGTTGTGTTATTGTGACATCATAGATAGGATAGAGGTCTAGTTGAGGTCCCCCTTCTGGACCCTTTCATTGTTTGTTTTAGTACGAAATTTAAGGCACTTACAACACAGTAGTAAAGACATAAAAATGCCCAAGATAAGAGGTGTTACAAGAGGGCAACAAACACAAAAAAGAAAGAGGGACGATAAAGACTACAGATGCATGATAGGAAAGAAGGAGCAAACCTTCAACCACCCACTTTTCATTGCTGAGACGTTGCCATTGTACGTTTGTAGGGACAAGATCAAATGTTCGGTCAAGAGATATTAAAGTAAAGCCATTATAATGGTATTTAATTTTCTTTCCCCTTTTTAAAGAACAAACCACAGCACAAGTCACTATTACATCTCCTAAAACTTGTAGTCCCATCTATATTGTAAGTCTTGAACATATCATTCAACTGCAATTTAATGATATTGAAAAGCGCATCTTTGATAGAGGGGTCTTTGGAGGGGTGAGGGGGGGTGGGGGTAAACTCGAAAATTCACAAAATTTGGACTTAAGTGGATTGCTTTCGACAGCGACGATTTGAACTTTTTGAATGTGTGATTTAAATAGACCTTTAAACTATAGTGGGTAAAAATTCAGCCAGTGTGCAATCTCATATCGTGACGCCTTCACATGACTGAAAAGCCTTTTCGTTCAAGTTCTGACATTTAAATAACTTTTGTGCTTGTAACAGAGTGCATTGATATGAACATTTTTATGTTTGATTTCTGTAAATTAGACAATAAATTGGTGAAGAACTTACAATGGGCCTACGATACAAGACCTCGGTTTCGAAAATAGATATATAAATCCCCGATTTATAATAATATGCTTTTTTGCCCTTGTTTGAACTCCTCGGATCAAACGATGTCGGAAAATTCCAACCGCGGTCACAACGAAATAACGACGTTACGGTCGAACGAAGCCGGAAGACACCAACCCAGGCCGTAGCAAGATGACAATTTAGCAAGTCGAGAGCGCTCTGTCCAGTCGAGTACTTCACTTATAAACACAGTCACGTGTAATGCAACCATCAGGCATTACTCCACTCACTCCTCATCAACAGTGTAGGTGTACAAGCAGTGTCGGTAGCTCGCCTTCTAAATTATCTCAATTGTGACGATTATTTATCTCTTTTTTTTGGGGGGGGGGGGGTAAAACTACCTAAAATCTTAAAAGAAATGTATTCTCAAAGGGAATTATCTCCACTTGTTCCCAGTACAACCACAACCTGCAGAAAAGAACCACTAAATTCCCAACCCAGTCTGCCTGTCACAAAATCCTACGGGCCACACGTTCACAAAACTGCTTAGATGGAGGGTACCGTGCCACTGAAAGATCTTACTTATTACCCTATTACTTTCTATTCCTCTCTGCACCAAATGAGAATTATTGTGCCAATGTAACGGCAAAAGATAATGCAGATGAAGGGCAGGGGCCTAACTCTAGACTGAGAGAATCAGAGCGGATTGACACAATTACGTACCCTTTTGTAGCAAATGTAATGCAGTTTGCTGTCTGATGAGATGATCACGTCAAGCAAAGAATTCGACAACGACTACTTCTCCAACTCTAACAAGGTATAGAAAATGAACAAAAACTCCAGAAATTCTAGGCTGCTTTAGCGTGGTCTTCGGCTACCAGTTTTTCAGCTTCTCCACAAACATAATCTGTTTTAGGCAATATCAAGAGACCTGTGTGGCACAGGTTCATAGCATACAATTCAAATAAACCAACGAAAGATACAAAAATCTTTTTTCTAAATGTGTGAAAAAGTAAAGAAAAAAACAAAATGTCAACAGTAATAAATATTAAGAAAGACCATCAAAATAGATGAAGTTCGTGAATCAAAACTTGAGGCTTTCATGTGTACATCATGTTTATAATCAGTCTGACTAGGATCGCCCCCAAGTGCCGGTGCGCCGTTGGCTCATCGCAGTGCTGGCGTCCTTGGATTCGAAAATCCGACGCATTTGCGTCACTAACCCTTCTTCGTGGACACGGATGCTCTCTTCAGATATCGCCAAGTCTTCTTTTGTTTTAGAGGTACGACTGTCTTGGGTATTCGCCGCGTATTCTATTGGCTGATTTTTGGTTCGAGGCGGAGACTGTGAGGTAGTGTAGCTCTCTGATTGGTCCACTGGGCGTGGAGAAGAGGGCAAGCGTTCGTGTAAGCAGCGAACTGCCTGGTTTTGGTTTTTAGGAACAGGATGTTGCAGAGAGATGCCATTTTGATTGGCTGAATTAATTGAAAGGTGTGCTATCGTGCCACCGTTGATCTTAGGCTGTCCGGAGCACCGAGAGTTGGTGGTAGCAGATGGACTAAGTGGGCTTTGGGCCAACGTAGAGATACCACCCATCGTGGGCAGAGCGGAGGAAGAGTTTTGAGGCATGTAGCCGACCGGCGGATCACTCAGGACATGTGGGGCTCCTGTAGTGTTCGCCATACACCCGCCACGACTTTTGTCTATGTGAGGGGGACTCGTGCCTTTCGAAACCACGTGATTTATCATTTCCGGGGAGAGCAGACGTGCGGACGCCTTTAAGGGAATCTGCAAAATTTTCTGGATGTTCATCTTGAAATTCTGGTCCAACCCTCCTCTCTCCGCTGTCCGGTTGGCGACTCCCCTGCTCCCACCAGCATCTCTTTGCTGCACAGCCTTCAACCCGTACGGCTTCTCCTCCTGTAAGAGGGGGCGTGGCGAAGTCGTGGCGGGGGCGGGGTCAATGCTGGTGGAGGAGCTCACGGCATAGCTGGCGGCGCTGTCCACCGAGGAGGAGCTGGCTTGGCTTTGGATGACGTAACACACGCCACCATGACCGGGGCTCGTCTGGTCCGTCTCGCTGCCCATGTCCTCGATGCGAGAGAGAGCGTGCGACTTGTGGCCAAGGCCCCTAAGGATACACGCTTCTCCGGGCATGCGGCACAAGGACCGGATCTCCGCCGTGCCGGATGTGGTGTGGTCCTCCTCCGAATCCACCGAGCTGTACGATAACCGGCTGCTCTGACGAGGGTTCGGATCATCGACAACCCCAATTTCAGCGTTACCTGTATCAGGATGTTCAGTATCCGGATTTCCAGCATCCGAATGTCTTACATCCCGGTGTACATTATCCGGACTAACGCCATGTTCAGCTCTCTCGTATGACTGTTCCTGCAGTGCTGATATCCCCGAAAGAGGATGCGTTTTCCCAACCCCTGTCTCATATTCTGGCGGTTTAAACCCACTGGCAACTCGATTGTTCGCAAATTCGTAAGACTGCTCTCCTCTCTCGGGCGTGTCCTCTGACGTGTGGTCAAGCGTCCTGACGTAGGGCGCCATCCAAGGATGTTCCAGGATCTCGCCGATGTCGTAGCGCTTGTCCATGTTAGGCTCCAGTGTGTGTCCGATCACGTCACGGCACTGCGGCGTCACCGGCCGGTCCTCAGGAAAGTTGACCTTGCCCTTAAGCTGACGGTACATCATCTATAAATGAAACACATTTTTCTGGTCAATTTTTACTTCTTACACTTATTAAATCTGAGTCTAAATTTTAAAAATCTTTAAAGACACATTTAATGACATCATTTTTAGGTCAGTAGATTCATGTTCAGTACAATGTTATGTAAATGTCTATGTATCCATTAATGTATTTTGTGAATTGCAGTGTATATATTATTTTATTCTCATTTCGTGACGATGTGTAATCGTGTGCGTGTGATAAGCAAGTAGATGTGTGTGTGTGTGTGTGTGTGTGTGTGTGTGTGTACGTGTGTGTGTGTGTGTGTGTGTGTGTGTGTGTGTGTGAGAGAGAGAGAGAGAGTGTGTGTTTGTGTGTGTTTGGCATACATGTGTGCGTGTTATGTGTTCGTGAGTGTGTATGCGTGTGTTTGTGTGGGTGATTATATGTATATGTGTGTGTGTTTGTGTGTATATGAGTGTGTGTGTGTGCGTGTGTGTGTGTGTGTGTCGCGTGCGTGAATATTTTTCTTACATGCATTTATGTAAAGCGCCTAGAGCTGTGTTTACACGGGAGTGGGCGCTATAGAAATGATCTTCATTATTATTATTATTATTAAATCGCTACCTTAGAATAATAAAGTTTTATCTGACATTTATTTTTTTGGCTGCTTTGAGTTACTAAAACCATGACGTCAGAAACCAAATATTCTATATGCTCTATCAAAATTGTAAGATTATTTGTAGTCGTTATCAAGACCTTCAAAGAGTTGCATTCGAAAAAGCTTAACCGTGATGTGAAACTAAAAGGTTGTACGTCAAATTCTCAAAAACGACGCATTGAATAGATAGAACTTTTCAACCCTAGGATAGCGAAGAGGCTATAAATTTTTCCAAACCGAAAAAGGTGCACAAAGCCAGCGTCTATGGTGGGCTGTCAGGCACTTGGCTGTCATACACAGAAGATATAGGTTCGATTTCCAGCCACACCCCTGATCTTCTGGTAGGAAAGATCTACACCTAGCCTTCTCGAACAATGCGAAAAATCTCGAAGGGCCCGTGTGCAAGTTGCGAAAGATCCCTTGGTGGTCTAAAATCGATAAGAGTAGGCTTCGGCCTCCACCCGGGAAAAATTCATAATTTCCTACCGACTGAAAACAGTTTAACGAGTCTCGCGCGCTCATATGACCTTACGAGCTCCGTAAAATACTTACCACCAAAAAATAATAAATATTTTAATCAAAGTTAGCCTGACAGGCAGTATCAAAGTAGCTCATCTCCTAAATTAATTATCATTTGGGAGGCGGGCTTCTTCAATCCTGAGTATTATAATTGTAATTGTAATGTTATACTCTCCCACCGACGTATTAGAACGTTTGTGGGGGGGGGGGGGAGTTGTTTCAGCCCTGTTTGTCAGGGCCAATTCAGGCAGAGCCGTACTCTTTCTTTTTTAATTTTCGTAAGCAATTAACGGCACTTGCAACCCAAGTAGGTCATATAAGTGCCGAAAATTAAAACTGTTACAAGCGAGTAATAAACACCAAGGAGGAAAGATAAGAACGATAGATGTTTGAAAGAATAAAAAAAGGAGCTCGCCGGTGCAACACATGTACACACACGTACGCACACACACACACACACACACACACAC